GGGGAAACTGCTTGCATTCAAATTGGAAAGCAAAAGTCCAAGCTTGCTAAAAAATAGTATTAGGGCGGGGCGAAAATTTCGATTAAATTTTGTACACAGATAATATTTGTGATTTTAAGGTTATCTGAATAGGCACTATCTCCGAGAAGACTCATATAAGGTTGTCACCTATTCGAAATTAGTTACAAATTAATTAAAACATCATAATATGGGTATCAAATGGAAGGTATTTTAAGGACCGCATCCAAAAATATTTTTAATAGGGCTCCCACCTATTTTGAATCGCATGTTTATTTAATTTTTTTTTAGAAAACAAGGTAAAATATTACTATTCATGGGTACCAAGAGCAGGTTCTTAAACAATGCTTCCCCTATATACAAAATGTTATGTAAGGTTGCCACCTATTTTCGATTCTACACAATTTATCTAAAACGTCGCAATATGGATATCAAATGAAAGGTATTGTTGAGAACTTTGGTTTGAAAAAATTTTCCGTCAGGGTCAAATTTTTATTTTGCTAATTTCAATCAGCATTTTTTATGTATACACAGTACATATACGCTCAAGATATGTACCATTCATTCCAGCATATTTCGGAATAGGGTTGCCACCTAAATTGTGGAGTAAGAAATTTACTTGAAAGATACCGAAATCCATTTTTTTTTTTTGCTAAATATTTTTTTAAAGCTATCCAAATCTTGAGAACTTTAAAAAGTATATGCACTCCGGGCAAAGTTCGGTCAATCTGGTACTGTATATCTATTGTTTCATGAGGTCAAGAACAAGCCTGTAAAATATGAATCCTTTATTTTAATTGTAAGAGCCCACACATCGACCCCGAACGAGAGATCAGAGTATGCAATGTCTTACTAAAGGCGTAATTTGCTGATTTTCTGAGCGGATGTTTTTGACTGTGTGAGGGGGGCATCGAAAAAGTATTTTTTCTTCTTTTATAAAGCCACTAGTTGTCCAGAAACTGTTGCTAAGATCTTCTCAACGAATCTTGAGTCGTAACTCACCTTGGACTTTAAGAAACAGGTTCACCCAATTCCTTGGCTCCTTTTTTTTCAATATACATAATTTTTCCGCAACAATCTTATATTGAATTTCTCTTCCAACCAATTCATGTCGACTAATATATTGCTCGGGGCTACTGCTAGTATTTGCTCGATTCGCCACTTCTCCGCTCCCTTGAATTCATCCCTGCTAGTTTAACGAAAAATTCGTATCTGAAATAGAGATGAGCGCGGGATATCGAGATGGGCGGTACCGGGAAGGTCCATAAAAATTTTGCGGGCGGGACGGGACCAAAATCCTTTGCCGGCACTCCCGAGAAAATCTTCTCTTTGATGTTTTATTGAGACGAAAACAATATTTTTTTTCCATTATTTAAAATTAATTTGAGACATGTGAATTTTTCTTAGCGATTGATTTCGGGACCCACGGGAACCGCGGTACAATTCTGAAAGACGTCGGGATGGGCGGGTTCGGGTCTTAAAATTTGAGATTCGGTAATGAACGAAATCGGGATTGAATATTTAGTCCCGTGCCCATTTCTAATCTGAAAACAACAACAAAGTTGGCTAGGAGCGTTTGCATGTTGGCAAGTTTGGTTGTACCTCATTAACTTCGTTCGTTTTACCACTCGCTAAGTGTTGGCGAATCGAAGGCGGCTACATTTAATGTTAGAAACATTTTCCTACATATGTAGATACAGGTATTACCACCACTACCATTACAAATTTCACCATACAAGTTTCCGCCTTCCGCCACACGTTAAATGAATGGCGTCAAGCGGAAATTTGCAATCGTCTGGCATTAGAAATGCATTTGTGTGTAAACAGGCTAGCGTGTGTTTATGCGATCGCCGCTATAATATGGTTTGTTGTGTGGTGTTTAAAAATAGCTTGATTTTCCATGCATCCTATAAGTGGACTACGTTTTGCGTTGCGTATATTAAGCAGAAACATATATGCATATCGTCGCCTAGGTAAAAGATTTTCGTATGTTACGCACGTATGTACGTATGACGCTTGCGACAATCTTTTACCCAGGCGACGATATATATATATGTAGATGGGGCGTTCCAAGCCAAAATGGACGGGGTTCACACTTCATTTGTTTGATTTGTTTCAAATTTTTAGGGTTGATGGATAAACATAAATAATATATAAATATGCAATTTGGGCTTGATTAATAAATTTTTGAAAACTTTACTGCACAAAAACAAAAACAAATCGATTTAATGATTTTCCAAATATCTCGAGAACGGGGTGAGGAAAAAATTTGACAAAAATCACACATACACACATCAAAATTCTCTATGAAGAGAAATAGTTTTTAATTTTTTTTTCTTGAAAAATATTTCACATACAAATTTTTTGATAAAAAAATTTAGAATTTTAATGTGTGTATATGTAATTTTTCAATAATTTTTTTCTCACCCCGTTCTCGAAATATTTGGAAAACTAATAAATCGATTTGTTTTTATTTTTGCGCTGTAAATTTTTTAAAAATGTATTAATCAAGCTCAAATTTCATACTTATTTATTACTAGCAATTACCCGGCGTGCTTCGCTGCGCCTTAAATGTATTTTTGTGTTGTAACTCTCCCCCTAAGCTCTTATGGCCTCATTTACAAAATATTTTTAAAGAACTTTATGAAGTTAGATTTAAAAAAATCGATCTATGAAGCATTGTTTATTTTTTTTTTGAGTTAATATATTTTCGAAGGTAATTAGAAAATATGTAAAGAACCGACTTTCTCTTGGAAATTTAATTTATAATCTTATAACTGGAGTCTACTATCGCACCCTTTCCTCAAACGTGTATTGATTCAATATTCAAATAACGTATATTTATATAATTTGAAAAAATCTCCCTACTATACAAATATGTACAGCAATATTAAATAATATTTTCAAATGTTGTGAGAGGGAGTAACAAAACAAAATTACTTTTAAGGCGCAGCGAAGCACGCCGGGTATTCGCTAGTGTCACATGAAATTAACTGAGCAAAGTACAATGAATAGCTGTTAAACAATGGCACCATCTACTTTAAATGAAACATACTTATTTTCGTGGGGGATACTCACACACCATATACTTTTCTATTGAAATTTTTCCTGAATTTTCCTAGCTATAAACCTCCAAAGAATGCAAAACCGTGAAAATCGGTTCGTGCGTTCTGGAGTTATAGCGTCAGGAAGGAAAACCCTACTTATTTTTATATTAATTTTTATATTAAAGAAGATTAAAGAACTGTCCGCATTACTCAATTTTATTTTTCACTAAAACGGTATTCATGAATTTTTTAATTTTTTTTTTATTTGCTTCCGCATACTTTTGACATAACAGCTTTCATTTTATGCCGATATTAAACAAATACAGCCTAAGTTTACCCGGGTCCACGTTTTGGTCTGTATCTCGTGACCCAAGTCACCCAGCTATATGAAAAGTGCTCAATCTTAAAGCATTCATGAACAGCTTTCATTTGATACCCATATTAAACAAATACACCCAAGGTTACCCAGGTCCACGTTTTGGTCTATATCTCGAGACCCTAGTCACCCAGCTATTTGAAAAGTGCTCTATCTTAAAGCATTCATGAACAGCTTTAATTTGATACCCATATTAAACAAATACATCCTA